TAAACAACTCTGTAAAGATGCAGATCACATTATAGAATTAATAGGGAGCTTGTAATCTTGGTTAGGCTTAGGGCTGTAAATTTTTGAAGATGGCCAGCATGTCCTTAATGCTGAAGAATACAACTTCACCAATGTTCAAAAAAGAAAAAAAGAAAAAAAATTGAGGACAAGTCAACTTGAGTCGAATTTGACCTTTGTGCTATGAACCATGTCATTTGGATAGAGTATAAGATTTCTTAATTCGATCAAGAATCTCGAAAATGGTGCATGATCTTAGTTTGTATATTGTGATGCATGCTTCAATATGAAAAGTAACCTTCGTCTTTCTACTTCAACCTGGGAGTGATGCTTGAGGAGACTTCTACATGTGTCTGCCTCTTTCAAAGTTTTGCTGATCAGGCAATGTGAGGCTTTCATGGCTAGCTAGAGTCCTTTCACAATGATGTACACCTAGCTGTTTCTTTTGCTCTCTTTTACTGTTTCATTTGGGACATTCACGTCTTTTATTTTTTGGAGAATGTTATTAGGAGCCTATAACTATTAGAACTCTTTGTGCAGATTGTTGAATCTGCCGCTCCGTCAAAGGCGAAAATGTATGCATCGTTGTTTCTCCCTATAAGTGCGGAGTTTTAGTAAGTAATATTACTATCTTCTTAATTCTTCAAAATTTTGCTGTCTGAAAATCAGATTTGAAGGATTTATTTGGTGACGGCAAAGTAGGTTATTTAGAGTACGCGACAGAAATGACTGTAAGCTTCTTTGTGTTTTTTTTTAAAATTTTGTTTGTTAGTATGTGCCATGGGCCATTCCTGTGTCAGTGTTTCAGTAATTTTTTCTTCTTTAGGTAGAGTGCGATGATGCTTGTGCAGATGATGAAGCCACACTGGCTAGGATGAACAGCTTTCTTAATGCTGCACTACATGCTTCATGTGAAGGGATCATGGTGAAGTCTCTTGATGAAGATGCTGGGTACACACCATCAAAGCGCTCTGATGCATGGTTAAAGGTGTTGCCTCTAAACATCATATATTACATCAAGAAGATGAAATTTTCAGTTCTAATCCTGGAACCTGTTTGCAGGTCAAGAGAGACTATGTTGAAGGATTAAATGATTCCCTGGACTTGGTTCCAATTGGTGCTTGGCATGGGAATGGAAGAAAAGCAGGATGGTATTGACCAATCTTTCTTTCCTCATTGGTTTCTTCTATGCAGACAGTTAAGGAATGAAACTGCAATTCCCACTAATTTGAGCATTTCTTCACCTAGAAATCTTATTTAGGTTTTTTAGAGCGGGAATGCCTATTCTAAAGTACTATGTGGATGGTTAAGGAAACAAACTGCAAATCTCCACGAATTTGAGCATTTTCACCCAGAAATCTTATTTGATTGAGATTGCTTGGTGACAATTTTGTTTTACAGAAATTTCTGGTGTTACCAGTGAAGGTAGATTGTGTACGCTATTATATGCCATTTGATAGTTCAGTGCTACAAACATGTGCATTTGTTTGAACAGTCCTGCTCAGTAGATCAATATGAATTGTTTGCTTTTGTTTCACTTTTGGTGTAAAGAAGAATTTCTAGATGAAGTAGATTCATTGTTAGATATCATGGAATCCTTTAAGAGAACACATAAATATTCTTGCTACTTTTGCTCCTTTTTAACTGCAAATATGACTTAGCACAGGCTTTGTATTAACGATATATAATATTGTTACCTTTTTTCTTGTTAGGAACTTCATTACCTTTCTCCAAAAAAAAAACTAAAAATAAACCATGTGAATTTGTATTGCTATATGTAATGCGTATATATTGTGTGGACAAGTAAGATAACATCACCCTCCCCTTTGTTGCTTCTTTTATGACTGCTGAGAAATTGCATTGGATTCTGGTGCATGAATGCTTTCATGTGATTAACACATTCATTTTCAAATTATAGGTATAGTCCTTTCCTTATGGCCTGCTACAACCCTGACACAGAGGAATTTCAGAGTGTCTGCCGGGTCATGTCTGGGTTTTCTGATTCCTTCTATGTAGAGGTGAGTTCCATAATGATATAACTTGATTAATTCTCTTCTGATCTTATAAAAGGTTTGTCTTTTGATGGCATGAGGTTTAATTTAATCCCTTCCCATCATGTTACTAATCAAGTTAAAATTGATATAGGAGTTCAATTACTGGACCTTCATCCAATCTCTTATGCTTGGTGAATTTTATTACTTCGTGTTATTTTGGTCTATAGAACAGCCTACTGTGGCTTTAGATCATCTCTTTCTTTGTTTTGTTGAAATGCTGAGGTGCACATGGTTTTTGAGTTTGATTGTGGTTCACAAATTTAGCAATAGAACACAAAATAGAGCAGATAGATCACTACAGCATAGGGAGTTGGTTATCTTGTAAAACTGCTACAGTTTATGCCACCTTCATTTAGGTGATAGACGGGGTTTTGTAAAACTGCTACAGAACTCTGTTTTGGTTGGATGCACAAAATGTTGATGAAGTGGGAGGATAATTGCGAGGTTTCAGGTTCAAACACCGATAGGGAGAAAAACAATTGGTGGTTTCTTCTCATCTGCTTAAGCCTTAGTGGGCGGAATTACCCATTGCCTGTGTTGGTGGAGACAGCAGGGTACCCGGTGGAAGCTTAGTTAGTTCTCCTTACTCAGACTTTCTGTTCACCTGCCCATGCTTCAAGATTTGAGGTTTTCACCAGAAATCTCTGTAAAAAAAAACAGTTGTAACAAGATTGCATAGGTCCAACTTAATCCTCCTGAATAGTCAAGGTGTGCAAGTTGGACCGGACACTACCATTATTGGAAAAAAAGGATACTATAGGACAGGAGAGCTTAAGAAAATGGAAATGTTTATGGGAGTCCCGAAGAGCTTAAGCAGAACAAACACTCTATGGATTTCGAAAAGTTTATGTTTCATTCAAATGCTTGTGAATTAAGTAAAATATTATAGCTGGACAAGTAAATGAAAACTCAGCAAGTTAATGTTATCTCTTGAAAAATATCTAGCCACTTGCTCATAGAAGCATGCTTTTATCATTGCAAATGCTTGTGAATTAAGTAAAATATTATAGCTGGACAAGTAAATGAAAACTCAGCAAGTCAATGTTGTCTGTTGAAAAATATCTTAGCTACTTGCACATAGAAGCATGCTTTTATCATTGGCCTTAAAGTATAACTCAAGTTTTGTTTTTGTTATCATTTGTGTACTAATGTGTCAGCATGTATCCATATATCAAGTTCTTATGTGTGCATTTAGAGATGGTGTTTGCAGTAGGTCTTCATCTTGTGGTTGTGTTAGGCCTTCATCTCTCAGTAACACATTTATATATATTTATAATCAATGTGAATCTGTGAGTTCAAATCTCCTATGTTTGGTTAATGACCATGGAAAGGAAAAACTAAAAGAGAATCTTTAAGAAAAAGAAATATTAAGAATAGCAACAAAAGAGAATCTTTAAGGAAAAGAGAAGGCACTAAAGGGTTTTATAATAGTTGAAGAAAGTCTGGTTTCAGAGCACTCAGTAGAACTAATTGGGACTTGCTGACTTTTAACTTTTTCAGATGAGAGACTTCTTCGATGCGGACAAGATCTGCCAGAAAAAGCCACCCTACTACCGAAGTGAAGAAGTTCCGGATATGTGGTTTTCTCCAGAAGTTGTGTGGGTGATAAGGGGTGCTGACTTCACAGTGTCACCAGTGCATCACGCAGCCATTGGTTTAGTCCATCCATCTCGTGGTATTTCTGTCAGATTCCCCAGATTCATACGGTGTGTGTCAGATAGAAAACCTGAGGAATGTAGCACATCTGCTGATATAGCTGACATGTTCCGCTCTCAGATTAGAAAAATGGATGTGAAGGCTGAAAAATAGTTGTAAATATTGGTTTATTCTCAAGGAACTTCCATTTTCCACTCTCTCTCTCTCTCTCTCTCACACACACACACACACACACACACACAGGTATAAATGCATACTACATAGAATAGTTGACAGAGTAAAATGTGATCACTTTGTGATGGCTGCATACACCGTGGAAAGAGCTGAACTTCTTTGTGTTATGATTGCGATGCTGTACAGAACTGTGGGACGCCATCCTATACCATACCGTATAGAGACCCAATGTTCAAATGTGCGTGTAATTTTATACAGTTTTGTGGGTGCGCAATTGTTGGAAACAAATTGGATCCACGCAGAGCAAGCTGAAACACTGACATAGGTGTGAGTCTGCACTTGTGTATCTTACTGGAAAGACTGTTACCCACAGATTCAACTTTGCAGTTTGCTTACCCGGGATCGTTTGGTGTGAGGGATAAGTATAAATAGTGTTGGAATAAAATTTAGATGACTTGTTTGGTTGACATGTTTGGGATAACTTATCCCACCATTTATTAGCATAGTGATGGGATAAGTTATCCCGGGATAACTAACCCTAGGATAGTTAATCTAGGGATAACTAGTTCCCAATCAAATGACATAGAACTGGAAGCTCTCATAGAGTATCTATTTTACTTTTTAAGATACTGTCTCTACAATTAAAAGTTGCATAATTACTATGATCAAGATGGTTATAAAATATTATATAAATATAAAATTTAATTAATATAACTTTTCCTCTGCTTCATTGTTTCAATTTTGTTTATTTGATTTTAACTTGACACAAAATTTAAGAAAATAAATCTTTTGAATTTTATGGATTTAACTAAAAGTATGTAGAATGTCTCAAAGTGTCTTATAATATTGTGGTTTTAAAATATTATATGAAAAGTTAGAATTAGGAGTTATTAAAAAGGAACGACATCTTTTTAAAAATGAATTAAAAAGCAAAATATGATAGGTGTAAGAATTGTTTGTTTGATGTTGTACACATCTAAAAGCCAAAGTGCCACAGCTAGCTGGGAATGAGAGCTCCCGCCAATATTAAAAACCTGCTATAGCCGGTAGCTGGAGATACAGCCGGTCATACAGTATAAAACAAGTAAATTGAAATAAAAGAGCTGCTTCCTTGTTTGGTGGGCTTGTTGTTCTAACCAGTTGCCTTTTCTGCTTGAAAATTATTCACTATGGCGGTGAGAACAAGTCCGTCTCTCCGACGGAGATTTTAGATTCCAAGCTTTTCTTGTGCTGGATCCAACGCCGCCCAGGGTTACAGCGTTGATACAATATGAGTGCGGTGAACATCACGAATGTTGCCGTATTAGACAATCCGGCGTCGTTTTTGTCCCCGTTCCAGTTTGAAATATCTTACGAGTGTGTCACTCCTCTCCAAGATGGTACTTCTTCTTTTCCCTCTTTTTGCATGTTGTATCTCTCTGACTTATTAGGGTTACTTTCATATAGAAAATTGACTCTTTTTTCTTTCTTTTGCATGTTGACTTATTAGGGTTACTTTCATAAAGAAAGTTGACTGGGGGGGACTTGGCAGTGTAAATTCATATTTCAATTGATTTGACTAATTTGTTTACATTTTGTTCCTATTATAGTAATGCTTAGCTAAGCTATTGTGAGATTGTGGGGTTAGAGGTTCATTTTCTGATTGTTTTAATTTCCACAAGTGTTTGTTGATGTCACAGAAATCCAAGGGACAAATATTTTCGTGTGTGAGGGTATCTCAGTTTAAACATACTGATGCAATCTGGAATTTGGGGATAACTGAACTTATTAAAATACAGCTAGGAAGTGTAATCAGAGGAAGAACTAAGCCCTAAGCTAGGGCTAGGCGAAATTCTACAAAGATAGATAACAGTGGAATGAAAAAGATTTAATTTGTAGACCTAGCTAGCTATACTAGATAAGCTAAAATGACTGCTAACCAACACCATTAGTAATTTTGGTAAGATCAGCTAAGCAACTTAGGCTAAATCGCTGTTCACGTGACTCGTGAGTAGCCACATGCTAAAATTTCAGATCACATCATATACGTAAAGGTCATGCTTAAATTTGGTTGATGTAGGGTTCTTGATACTGCGGTGATTCTTTCAATCATATAACATCAATTGGTCGGCTTTGCTCATATCTTGCTGTAATTGGTAGCATTATATAAGCAAAGTTGCATATTTCCAAATGCTCAGAGTAAATCGAATGGAAATTATGGGATTAATCAATCCTAGGAGCTGGTAAAATTTGTGGGTTCTTCATGTTGGAGTCTTAAATACGCTTTGTACCTGGCTTGAGCTGAGATTATGAATCACCGGGGAAACCTAACATAACTTGTGGGAAAGATCAGGTGCAGGGAAATATTTTTCAGGTTATTGACCAATTTTGATCATCAAACTATATATATATATATATCTGCTGTGCTTCCCAGCTTTCCCAATGTCAAACTATGCCAGTTTGATAGATGAAATAATCATGCTATGGTTTTCTGGGGAATCTTGGTTTTCCATGTCATAGTAGACTTCAGTATAAAATCATTTCTAGGATAAAAACAGAGTTTCTGACAAGACTTCAAGCCAGCTTGTTTATTCTTCCATTTCACTTGTGAGCAGAATGTATAGTAGTTCCTAATCTTTCCCTCTGTCCAGGACTGTCTCCTCTTAACCAAATGATTTGTAATTCTGATTGTGGATATTTGGATTTAAGAATGAACTCGTTTTGAGCTTTTGCTTTTATGCCATTGCACTTACTATCAATGGTCTAACTTGATGATCTTTAGATTATTTGCATGTGTGCCTAAAAGCAATGAAGCATCTTGACATGTCCTTGTAAAGTATGCTTTCTAGTTGGTTCAAGGTGGGGGAGGTGATGTCATGATGTTAGTTCCAGCAGTAGCTTCAAGAAAAGGAACTTTAGAGTTCAAGCTTTCCTTTTCTAGAACTGATAAGTACATACTGCATACTACTATTATCATTTTCTGATGGCCTGCAGTTAAAAAGATTTTTCTAATACTGTTATAGGAATTTCCTAGTATAATACTTGATAGCATGTTTATGTGCAGCATTAATACATTAACTCCATTCTATTTTGCATATTTCCTTTGGGGCTGTTTGGGTCGTTGATGAGATTAGACGGTAACTTAATACCATTAAACTTGGGACTGGATCTGGATGGAAGTTTTTTGTGAAATGGATTGTTGTGAGGGATATAAAAATGCTTATTTGGGTGAAAACTGTATTTGGGTTTTAATAAGTTTTTATCCTCGGGGATTTTTGATTGGGTGGGTTCAAAGAAAAAGAAGGATTTTTTGTTTACCTTACTTACTTTCCTTTTCTTGATTCATGGGATACAAGTTGGAAACAACTTTTGAACCCAGGTGTTCATCTAATTAAGTGTCAATTAAGCTGTAAACAAAAACAAAACACAGTAAAATTTATTTGTAGAAAATTTATAGGAGTTGGTCTCTAGTGGCATGATAGTTGGTGGAACCTGGAAAAACTATGGAAGGGGATAAATTAGATTATGGCCCATAATATGAGTACTTTCTCTCGGAGAAATTGTAATCTGCCAGTAGCCAAACATCAAATCATCAATTCAAAGAACAGATAGATGATACTGTGGTACTGTTGCTTACTTACCCCTTAAGTCAAAACCAGAGGTGGATGTTTATCCTCCTAATCTGATTGGGCATTATTTGGTTCTATATCAGAACAGCAAATGATTATTAGGACGTCAAACCATCTTTCCCAACTTTTAAGATTATTTAGGTAGTTAACTACGGAAGAGAATGGACTTAATATTTTGTTATGGTAACACAGTTCTCTTTTCTCTTTTGAGGATCAAAATTTCAGTAAAATGATCTATAAATTGGTTGAACCTTTAGAAGCTATATTCTTTGCAGATAGAAATTCTCCCACCAAATTTATTCTCTTTTTTTTTTTAAGCCAGATACATTCTGGCTGTTTTTCAAGATTTACACTACCAAGTGTTTCACTTTGTTAGTGAGGATTTATGTAGCTGAGCCTAATTAGCTTGGAGTTGAGCCCTAGTTGTTTCTGTTGATATTGTTGTAAGTATGATTTATTTGATTTTGGTTGCATAATAATCTCTTTGTCATATGCTCATGCAGATTTGGAATGGAAGCTCATCTATGTGGGATCGGCTGAGGATGAGACATATGACCAAGTTTTAGAAAGCGTTCTTGTTGGCCCTGTAAATGTTGGAAATTACCGCTTTGTCTTGCAGGTATTATCTCCTGGATTCCAATTGTCCCTCGTGGTACTAATGCTTTGTCTGCCTTATTGAATGTATGTTATATTTTCCGAACTTTGATGCTAGGCGGACCCTCCAGATCCTTTGAAAATTCGTGAAGAAGACATTATTGGTGTTACTGTCCTCTTGTTGACCTGCTCATATTTGGGGCAGGAATTTGTACGAGTTGGGTACTATGTGAACAACGATTATGATGCTGAGCAGCTGAGAGAAGAGCCTCCACAGAAAGTCCTAATTGATAGGGTTCAAAGAAATATATTAACGGACAAACCTAGAGTAACGAAGTTCCCTATTAACTTTCGCCCTGAAAATAATGAAAGAGAGGAGCAAGCCCCTCCACCTGATCATGTGGGTGAAGAAGAAGACCGAAACGAAGGGCAATTGCCTTTCCCTAAGAGTAAATCAGATGAAGATGGAGCCTAATATGAAGATGTTATTTTTTTATCTAATGGCTTGTGTTTTGGTTTTACAGTATTGTCCCTGAAGATATCTCATTCTGGCTTCTGGTGGGTGATATCTGATCATCAAAACCCGTGTTTTTCTTCTTTTCCTTTCTTTCTTGTGATATATGTATCAATTCCAGTGAAATTTTCAAGTAGTTAACCAGTCTGGTTTTGGGGGTTTAGAAGAAACTGTAAGTAGACTAGATGCCGATTTTGGCTTTGTATTTTGGTCCAAAATGTTTATAAGCAAAACTTTAATAACCTTATGATACTAATATTCTGACTTTTTTTTTGTGCATTTGAAGGTAAAGTTCGCAGAGGATTTCTCCATATAATAAGTCCGAGTCCCTTATCCTACCGATGTGGGGACTACAATAAAATGTGTATCTTACAAAGCATTTCATCTAGAATTGTACTCAACTAACCAACACCAAATTACTGTGATGTGTTTTATTTGAATGAAAAAAGATATAATTATGCAGATGTTGCCTGGTTGGTACCTATTATTGATATTGATAGAAGTGCTTTTATCTAAGTTGGGTCACATATCAACCTCTGGACTCCTATTTTGGACTGACTTCTAAGCCAGCTTTCTTTGATTAATTTACATTTACATTGATGATCCAATATATATGATGAAAAGCTGGCATAAAATGGGGGTTAGAAACCTTCAAGAGAGAGATAAGAGACCCACTTCCCTCGGGATATTTTTTTTTCCTAAATAGAACATGAACATGTCCCACTTTCTCTGTGTGTATCATTTACATTTTGAGACCTCAAAGCCAACTTGACATGTACCATCAAATTTTTTGTTAAACCGAGAATTTCTCATTTGGCAAGCGGACAATAAAATCCTACCTCCGTTTCATATTAATTGATTATTTTATTTTTTATACACATATTAAGAAATTAAAATTAAAAATATAATTTTACTAATTCAGCCTTTAGAAAATTTTACAACAAATGTGAACACTTTAAAATAATTAATTACTACAAGATTTTTTAATTTAATAAAATGAACAACTAAAATAAACCAGCGTTAAAAGTAAAAATATTAGATGAGTAGACGAAACCAATTTCTGCACCTCAGGCCGCCATACAAGTATCTGGGGTAGGCAGAAACTAATAGTATTCTAATATTAAACATAAATAAATAAATCCCTATATATAAGCGAACACGTCTGCCCTTTCTTAAATAACTCAAATTGATCTTCCCTGTAAAATCCATCACTGAAAAGAGTCTCTCTGTTTCTAAAATTCACTTCAAATGTCTGATTCCGATCACCAAACCCTATCTACTGTCGACGGCAACACCTTCGTTGCCATGTGCCTTGCACGTGCCGGCGTCGACCGGATGTTCGGGGTTGTCGGTATACCCGTTACTTCCCTTGCGAACCGGTCGGTCGGACTCGGTATCCGGTTTATTGCTTTCCACAATGAACAATCTGCCGGTTACGCGGCTTCGGCTTATGGTTATCTTACCGGTCGACCCGGTATTCTTCTCACCGTCTCCGGTCCAGGGTGCGTTCATGGCCTCGCTGGGCTTTCCAATGCAACCGTTAATACCTGGCCCATGGTTCTGATATCTGGGTCATCTGATCAGAAAGAAATGGGTCGTGGCGATTTTCAAGAATTAGATCAAATTGAGGCTGTGAAACCCTTCTCTAAATACTCAGCTAAAGCAACTGATATAACGAAAATCCCCAGCTGTGTTTTCAGTGTTTTGGATTGGGCAATCTCTGGCAGGCCAGGTGGTTGTTATTTGGATCTTCCTACTGATGTGCTTCATCAGACAATTAGTGACACTGAAGCACATAAATTGATCGATGATGCTGAGAGTTGCAGGAATAAAGAGCTCATTGCTAAACCCATTGTTCAACATTCGGAAATTGCAAAGGCGGCTGCTTTGTTGAGGAAAGCGGAGAGGCCTTTGATTGTGTTTGGAAAAGGGGCTACATTTTCTAGAGCTGAAAATGCTTTAAAGAATTTAGTTGAGCGTACTGGAATACCATTTTTGCCAACACCAATGGCAAAGGGTTTGTTGCCTGATAATCATGAGCTAGCTGCTACGGCTGCAAGGTCACTGGCAATTGGAAAGTGTGATGTGGCGTTGATCGTTGGCGCGAGGCTTAATTGGCTTTTGCATTTTGGAGAGCCACCAAAGTGGTCTAAGGATGTGAAGTTTATCTTAGTTGATGTAGATAAGGAGGAGATTGAGCTTAGGAAACCATGTTTAGGGTTGGTTGGTGATGCTACTAAGGTTGTTGAGATGATACATAAGGAGATTAAGGATGACCCTTTTTGCTTAGGGAAGTCTCATCCTTGGGTTGAGGCATTATCAAAGAAGAGTAAGGAAAATGTTTTGAAAATGGAGGCACAACTGGCAAAGGATGTTGTGCCATTTAATTTTATGACACCAATGAGAATTATTAGAGATGCAATACTGCAATTAGGCAGTCCTGCTCCAATTGTTGTCTCCGAAGGTGCCAATACTATGGATGTGGGGCGATCAGTATTAGTTCAGACCGAGCCAAGGACCCGGTTGGATGCAGGGACGTGGGGGACAATGGGAGTTGGTCTGGGGTACTGCATTGCAGCTGCTGTTGCTTCACCTGAAAGGCTTGTAGTAGCAGTTGAAGGGGACTCTGGATTTGGCTTCAGTGCCATGGAAGTTGAGGTTTGTTGTCTTCCTCTATTTCATATGTTTTTTCCCTCTATTTACTCTATTAATAGGATCTGACTGACTTTAGTTGTTACCCTAGAATAGCTTTGCCGATCTTCGACATATGATGCTTTTCTTTCTTGGTAATCAGAGAACTTCTTCATTATCTTGTTGCTTGTTAGTCTGTCTAATGTCTCGTTTAGTAAATCATTTACGATTGTGAGTAATAATTAAGCCCAATTGAATAGATTTTTCTCATATAATATGGAGTTGAACTGATCAGTGCTTAAGCTTAGGCTCTGAATACTATTTTTTTCTGCTGCTTAGAGAACTGCTGTAGGCATTTAATGTCCTCCCCCAATATTGTGGATTAAGGATTCTTATGTAGTTTCGTTATTGGCAATTTCAGGGGTTAGTAAGATTTAATAGTCAACAGCAGGTTCTATCTTTCTGAGTAGTTCATTGGTTTTCAGGAATGATATCTAAGTGGAATAACTGTAATGATATCTGAGTAGTTCACTAATATCTCTTATGGAATTTCTGACAGATCTTAAACTGTAATGAACCACTAAATACAAATATGTTCAGTACCATCTCTTGCATATTTATGGGGTTGAATATTCATAGGTTCTCCGCTGCTACTTTATTAAGTTAAAACCCAACTCATTTTTTGATCACATGATGTGAAGTAGATTTGAATGGGCTCAGAATTTTCTAGGGTTAATTCATCAAGCCCTTAATCTGAATTGCTTTCCAGCTCAGCTGATGGAGCAACCTTCTCAAATGATGGATCTTATTGTTTTTCTGGTTGAGAAGATAGTTAAATGGGAAATTAGGGGTTTAGAAAGTGATACCTTGACTTGGCTGCGGTGTAATGCAGTGGTGTCATAACTCATAAGTTAGTAAGATCACTTAAAACTTGTGGTACAAAATCAGGGAACTCAACTCGATGTCACAAGTCAGTACACTTACTTCCCATATACTAGAAAGCTGCTCAATAGGTCATTGAATCAACCAACAGTTCATCAGCAGTTATAATGACTGGAACCTAGGCCCCTTACCTTGATGTGCTGGTTCTTGATGTTGGGCCCATAATCCCTTCTATTACTAGTACCCATCTTGTGCTATACCCTATTTGCCGGTTCTGGGGTGATTCATGATTTTTCTTAACTAATGTTTATCCCCTGTAATGTTACTCGTACAGCTTTTTTCTCTTGTTGCCCGTGGTGGTGTTCTCATACAATTATGAGGATTTATTGGTCCTCGTTTCTTAAGGTTACCATGATCTCTTTTTCACTTTTTGTTTAAATATTATAGCATTGATCACTCCTTACAATGAAAAATTATGCTCGTGAAGGCATTCCTTCTACTTCTAAGTTACATTTGTTATAGAGTAACTTACCTATGGCACCGTTGGCTCCCATATATTTCTTGGTTCACTTTCTTTTAAAGTTTAATTTACAATCCTAATTCAGAGTAATTTATGTACTGCAGACCCTAGTTCGCTACCAGCTCCCAGTTGTGGTTATAGTCTTTAATAATGGAGGAGTTTATGGTGGTGATAGAAGGAACCCCGAAGAAATTACTGGACCTTATAAAGAAGATCCAGCACCCACATCTTTTGTTCCTGGTGCATCGTATCATCTTCTAATTGAAGCCTTTGGAGGAAAAGGATACCTTGTTGGAACACCTGATGAACTTAAATCTGCACTTACTGAATCTTTTTCTGCTAGGAAGCCTGCTGTTATCAATGTGACAATCGATCCTTATGCTGGTGCTGAAAGTGGGAGAATGCAGCACAAAAACTGAGGTTGCGGGTCTCTGATTATTTATGTATGGATATGCTTGCTGAAGTTCAGTTCTTGTCCGCCATTCGTGCAAAAAGAAAAACAGAAGAAGAAAGATTGCTGTTGTGCCACGGTATTAACTTGTCATCGGTGGAGGAAAATAATAGCAAAGGGAATAGGATAAGTGAATATCTCTCCTTAGTATCGTCACTGATAGGGTATATGGTGTTGAATTTACAGTTGAAATTGATGAATGAATTTTCGTATACATAGTAAATGAAAATAATGTATTTGCAACAAATACTTATCCTTGTGATTTGCTTAGTTTCTCAAGTGTTTATTGAGTTCCTTGTTATGTCTCTCTGGGGCTTTAGGAAAAACGTACTGGCATTAGTTATTTATACCAATCTACATTAGTTAATCATAATTAGCAATTTATGTGAGAAATATTAACTATGATTTATGAACGGTTGTTTATATAAAGACATCAGTAATACTTTTATTGGCTTGGTAGAACATTGGGTGCAAGGCTTTTTCCACTCTAAAAAAATACGCATGTAAAAATAAAATAAAATGAATTTGGTGGTCTTGAACTAAAGATACGTAGACTGTATGAAAATATCTTTAATCTTGTAGTTTAAAGATGTCATATGGAAAATTTGAACTAAAGTAATACAAACAAATAGAAATGGAGAGAGTATCTTACTATGTTTATAGTTGATGAATTAAATCTATGATCGAACTAATTAAATATGTTTATAGTTGATGAATTAAATTACTCATATTCGTATTGCAATGATTGATCATATTTTATACGAAGTTCCAAAGTACAAATGGGTTTATGATTTTACCTCTACATTAAATCAAAATATATTATAAAATAACAAATATTACATAGTAATCATATTATATTATACTAAAAATACTAAAGTGGAAAGGTGTTAAGTCAAAGTTAAAAACTCAAAAAGAAAAAAACTTCAATATTTCTTCTCTTCTTATTTATGAGATATAGTTTTGATTCGGTATGAAACTTTTATGTTGGAGGTCTCAAGTTCGATACCCCTTGATAGCAAAAGCAAGAGATTTGCCTTTTATGTCAAACTCTCCAATGTAATTTGCGAGTTTAGTGACTGCGGATTTTCCTTGTCATAAAAAAAAGTATATCTTCATGGATCTTTTGCCAAATAAAATGAGACCCAATTTAGGTAAAAATATTAATAATATCACTAAATATTTATTAAATAAAAAAATACATTATTTTTTAAGATGAAAAAAAAGTATATCATATAAATTTGGGATAAGGGTCTGAAAAATACTCCAACTTTGGTCGGATTTGCTGTTGCGATACTAAACTTTCATGAGGACCTATCACCTCCCTAGACTATTTAATACCGTATTTTAAACATATATATTTGCTCACGTGGACATAAAAAATAATGCAAAATTAGAAATAGTAGTGTGTCCACGTGGACACATATATACCTTTAAAATACACTATTAAATAGTTCAGGGGTAAAAAATACGGTAT